TGGGAAGGAGTACGTAAATGCGTAACATTCGGTCCACGTGCCCCACAAGCAGATTTCATATGGGAACGGATCACGTTGGGAAGGAAAAGTGAAGATTGTCTCTATCTCAATGTTTTCACGCCTACATGGAAATCAGAAGAAGACGAGGTAGGGAGCCAATTTTATTCTGAAATATTTTTGGGGTAGTGTAGCCCAAAGAATTCCATATTCGTCCTCCTCATTGCTCCCTTCACATCTTTATACCAAATCCGCATACCCAACATCAACCGCGGGCACGTCGCTACGCAGGCACCTTCGCGAAGCGGTATTCCACATGGGACCCGTTGGCGCGTTCGCCTTTTTGCCTAACTTGCGCTTTGTGCGCTTGGAATCGGCTATGAATTTATAATGTTAATTCGAGGCCTTTGACGATCTGTGAATAAGGAAATGCGGAAAAAATGGGGAAATAGAAAAGTCTGGGATATTCAGGAAAGACTAAGCTAAAATAATTCCAACTTTCCAGGCAGGACACGCCGTCATGGTATACGTCCACGGAGGAGGGTACTTGATAGACTCTGCTGTGAAATATGGCGATAAGGGAATTGCAAAGTAAGCTCAACAGCATACTGTGATTTTTGAGCAAATGTTCATCCTTTTTAGATATCTTTGCCGACATAATGTCGTTGTGGTCACCATACAATATCGTCTAGGATTGTTAGGATTCTTTTCAACTGGTGATGATGTGTGTCCTGGAAACCTCGGTTTATGGGATATGACTATGGCTTTGCAATGGGTTCAAGTAAGTTTCGTTACCATAATCTTGAGACTTAGGAATTCCACCTTTCCGTAGACGTTACATAATATGCATGATAGCAATAAATTCAATTAACAATAAGATATGCATTCGATCTTATTTAGGACAACATCAACGCCTTTGGCGGAAATCCGAACAAAGTCACAGTGTTTGGACAAAGCGCCGGTGGAGCTAGTGTCGATATATTGGCTCTTAGCCCTCATTCCAGAGGTATGACATGTTATTGCTAACGCAGATAACGCAGGTTATGCGTCCCTTGTTGCGGCGCGGTTGTGATGCCTTTGAGTCGATAAGGGTGTTGCAGCCGCGATGGCAAATCACCAATGTCTCTCTTGATGCTGGACAAGCAACTGATCTTTGCGATAACTCAATTTTGATGATTTTTTAGATTTATTTCAACAAGTGGTCCCTATGGCTGGCAATGCTGAATGCACTTGGAGCACTGTAAATCGAACGAGGCTTGTGGAGTCTTGCAAAGAATTTGCGCGAAGACGAGGATGGGAAGGTAGGAAATTGTAGTGCAATTTCACGTGAAGTTTCCGTTGTTTATTTAGATACCCAAACGAGTGAGAGCATGTTAGAGTGCCTCAAAAATCGAAAAGTTAGGGAATTTGAAAGACGTCTTATTACCGCAAAGGTATAGATTCATCAGAGTTAATTTCTAATCATCTAATCAAATCTATGTAGGGTATGGATGTGTCAAAAATTGGCCTCGATTTGGCGCCAAGCGTTGGCACAGCTCCAGAAGATTTTCTTCCAAAAAGCATTGATGAATTGCGGGC